AAAAAAAAAAAAAAAAAAAAAAATCACCCACAACAGCATAGGCTCTATGTAGATTCAACACAGAACCATAAATCAAGCTTTAAAGAGCCCATGGCATGCTTTTTTTGTTTTCTGACATATAGAATGTGGCAACAGTGAATCATCATCTTAAATGTGACCTAAAGCTCAAAAAATGAGGTGTACGTGTGCTCTAGTACATCTATGTAGAACCAACTCGATTTATACTGTACACATCTCACAAAATCTTGCACACAAGGCTTTTTCAACAACAAAGTCTTTGTGATAGATTAAGGATTCCCTTGAATGGTCATATTCTTCAGGGAGTTGCACATTCATGTGAGGTTGCCTGACATCTCCTGCTGCCATCGTAAAAGTGGACATTTTCAACTGCACCTGGTTTTGTGGATATATTTTACCTCCTGCTGCTGCACTGTGAGCAGAGGATATAAAGGAAAACACAGGGCCTGAGGTTACTGCATGTCCAGGAATGATCCTGTACAGAGACTTGCGGTTTTACCTGACCAAATCTAACTTACAAGCAGCCAGTCAGTGAAGCCCCCGCGCTGGTGAATTGTCAGCTCATCAACATTGGATTCCCCCGGAACACAGTACCCGTTTGTTTTGACTGCTTGAGGCCAGTGTGTCCGCGCATGTGATGTGTTGCTGGTTAACAAGCAGATTAACAACCCAAGATGTTATTGTTGGTTGCTACGCTACCTGTTGGAACTAATTTCACTGCTTTGGGATTGTATGTGGTCTTGTAGGGGAAGACGCAGTGACCACTGGTTGGATTTACCGACCTTGGAGGTACTTGAAAGGGAGTGATGTTTCCATTACTCCATGGGACTTAATGGTAAGTTGAATAAAAAATAAAAATAAAAAACACAAAACAAAACCCACATTGTCTCTTAATGCCTTGTTTCTGTAACATTGGTAAGAACTGTCTTAAGGCTTGAGAAATTACTAGGTCTGCATTTTGCCAGTTAAAATATGGGGTTTCTCAATTACCTGCTTTGTTTAGAGTTTTACAAATGTCTTTTCATCGGTACTGTTTATCTATAGATGGAGGATTAAGGCTGTTGGGGCTCATCTCGCTGTCCACTTTCATATTCTGGCTCAAACATGTCAGGTAGGATTTGAGATTGTCACTGTCAAAAACATGGCTTCCTGACCGGTCTTGTGTCAAAAAGTGTTCCCCCTTTTCGATACTCAGTTTCACGTAGCAACCCCCTCAGTCATTCTGGTTATGATAATGTTAGGATTCAGGTTAGGGGAAACACCAGCAGCAGGATTTGTGCATATTTACAAACTATCCTCTCATTTTCTGGAGGAGGCTCTCGGGTTTTTTCATTGTTAAATAATTACAGATTATTTTAATTATGAATGCTGCAAAGCTAATCTGGAGGTACCCAAGATTAAACATTATATGGCTAGAAAGAAAGTCACTTTCGGCTTTTCCCGTTTAGGGGTCGCCACAGCGCATAGTCACCCTGAATCGAACCCGGGCCACACCGGCGACAGCGCTGCGCCTTAACCACCAGGGTTAAGGCAAACATTAAATGGCTAGAAATGAGCATACCATGGGCACTTTAACCCCCTCCTCTGATCATCACATCTACACACTTACAGGTGCACAACCAGCATTGGTGACATTCAGGAGAGAAGATTTTCACAATTGTTCGTACATCTTTCATTTTTCTTGCTTTTGTCACTACTGCAGGAAATCCTAGGCTGTGCCAGAGTCAAATTCTTCGTGTGTACAACACACCTGGCCAATAATGCTGGTTCAGATTACGTATTTCTGCAATGCACTGCTACAGCGTTAGCCACAGGCCTGCTCCGTATTAGCTACACACTCGAAGACACACTGTATGACAGTTACATTTATCTACCTGCTGTATTGCATATGCACTTTAATGCAAAATCTACGTTTTGTAAACACTGTCATTTGAGTTTGAAGCCGTTTCTCATAGTGTAAATACAGATCAAAGCGAAAGGTCCTTCCTGTTGCTACCGTGATAACACTGCAAACCACCCCTGTTTCGTTTTATTATCTGTCTAAAAGCATCACACTGAGCGAAAACGTTGTTATAACTTGAAATATGTCTCACCTTGAACCACAGTTACGTACTGGGCCCGCCTTCAAAATGCACAGTCTCATTTATGGTAGATAAGTGGTAAAACCGTCGATCCTCACAACAGCTTCTCTCCAGCCATTTTGAGCCAAACCGTCAACTTGATGCCGAGCTAGGACTGGGGGTTAGGGGATGTGATCGAGTATTTTTTAATTAATTACTACTATCAGGGAATGTGTACAAAATAATTGGAGTCAAGTATAATATAGGTTTCTGTTTCAGTTATAAGTCCTCGTTTCAAACGGATTAAAAAGCAACGTCCTGTAGTTGCTAATATCCCCTAACACCCCTTTTAGGGAAAATGGTACGGCTCGTGAAATTCTGGGGCTCTACTTTAATGCAGCCAATAACACGAGCGGCTGTGTAGTAAAGTGCTGCATTACAGCAGGGTGCTGTCAATGTCAGAACAGCTGTGAGGTGTCAAAAATGTCAAGGAGTTTGGTGACAAGTTACCTTAGGACATTTTAACAATAATGGAGCGCTATTGTAACACTGCAGGCATGCACCAATACTGAGGGGGGAATTATTTTATACCATCTGAATTATAAAAATAGGGGAAAATACTGTACCTACAGTAGCTCGAAATTTAAACTAAAGGAGCAAAACACCAATTTTACTCAAAGGTCAATTTACTCAGCAACAGGAGTAGGCTAGGCTACTATTCAAACTGTGAATAGCACCTCAAGTCTTTAGTGATTCTAGAGTAACACATTAACAAAACAGTACCAAACATGGGAGACCAGACAACAGCTACATGACATTACAAAAAGTTGTTTAACTGCAGAGAAAATCACTGGTGCCAGCCTGCCCTCCATGCAGGACCTGTACTCATCACGGGTCAGGAAGAGGGCAGAGAGGATTTCTGCAGACCCTTCTCACCCTGCATACAAGCTCTTTGAACTCCTTCCCTCTGGACGGCGCTTCAGGTCACCGTGCACCAAGACAACCACACACAGAGACAGTTTCCTTCCCCGGGTTATTACAATGATGATAATCACCTTTATTGGCCAAGTATGTTACACACAAGGAATTTGTTTCTGGTAGAGAACCAAGGAAGCCATCTGCGGCGCCAACTCAACCAATGGCAACGGGGGGGTTCAGTGTCTTACCCAAGGACACTTTGACATGTGGACTGCAGGCACTGAGATTCAATCCTTCAACCTTCCGGTTGGGAGGCTGCTCTACCCACCACACCACTGTCACCTGATATGAACAGCTAGTCTATGCTGCTCTTTTAACTTGTGATTTTTAACTTGAATATATTGTGTATTTATTTTGTTTTATATTGTGCACATTGAGGGCCATTGAGCTGGAATAAAATTCCTTGTGTTCTTGAAATACTTGGCAATAAAGTTTATTCTTACAAGATTGTAGTGTGTGAGTGTCAGGCTGTGTCCGAAACCGCATACTGTGCCAGTACGTACTGAAAGAGATGAAGTACCTACTTACTGACCGTTAAAACAGTAGGTACTGTATAGTATGAAGCCTGGTAGTATGAATGAGATTCGGACGTACTACATCCGCCATGTTGATACATCACGTGACATACGTTTTCATAGCAGCGTCTTCTTCGTTGGATAACTCCTCTCCCGGGGCATCATGGGATAGTGAAGTGTCCATCGTATGCACACTGCAAAATCCAACCGGAAGCAGTAGGTCATCCGGGTACTTTTCGCCTACTGTTTTTGGAATACTACGAATCCGGACATACTACTCGCTTCGCCTACTATACAGTATGGTAGTAGGCGGTTTCGGACGCATTCTCAGGCTTGCCCGGCTGCACTTGCCTCTCTCACCTCTCTCACTCTGTTTCTCTGTTCTGGCCCCTGATTGCACATCATGCACACCTGCTCCTCACTCCTTGATTATCACCAGCTGCTCTTCATTAGTCTGCCCTTTACTTATACCCGGCTCACCTATCACTCTCTTGCTTGTTCGTTCATGATCTCAGGCCCTCACCTTGTCTCCTTGCTGTTATACTTGTTGTGATCTTCTAGTTCCCGTATGTTTTGCCCTGGACTCACCTGTGTTTCTTCTCTACCAGACTGATCATCATTCATTTCATGAACTGTTTCCTCCAGACCTTGGCTCCATTCAGCCCTTCCAGACAAGTCGATACACAGTCACCACTTGGCTGCCATATAAACCACTCTCTGCTTGTTTTTCCAGTAATCACCATCACCTATCGACCAGCCCAGGAGTGACCCAGCGACGCAGTTCGGCCCACTCGGTCCAGCCCATCATCCCTCTGCTTCTGCTCTTGGTCGACACCCGGTTACTCAGTTCATTCCTCACCTGCCTGTTTGCTTTTGCCACATTTCGACTCTCTCTCTGTGTGTGTGTGTGTCTCACACACACACTTGTTGGTCACTCACTCGAGTGCAACATAACAGTGAGGGTGTGAAGTGTGGGTATTTCCAACTTATGCCGTCTATGAAATGCAAGAAAGGGAAAAGGAGGGAAAAATAAATCAATAAATAACTAAAAAAAGGTTGGTGGGAATGTGCGTGGCCTCAGGCCCCAGGTGTTTGGTTCAAGTTGAAATGTGTTAGAAATGGGTTCCATGTGTCATAAAAAGCTGATGAACTATTCTTGTGAGTCAATGTCATTTTCTCTAATGTGATGTATTCTATCAGAAGGTTGGTCCAGTGGTTTATGTGTAGTGATTTATTTGTTTTCCAGTTTAAAAAGATTGTTTTCTTGGCAATAGGTAGAAAATGAGGAGTGGGTCTTTGTATTAAATTGGTAGGTGGTCGATTTCTATGATATTACCGAGCAAGCAAAGTGATGGAGAAGGAGGAATTCTACAGTCCAAGATGGTGGAGAGTTTCTCTGTCACTGCTATCCAGATGGAATGAACTGGTTGGCAGGGCCAAGTAGTATGAAAATAATTGTCAGTGCAACCCAGAATGCATTGTGAGCAGATGGCTGTGTCAGTGAAACCCATTTTGAACATTTTACTTTGTGTAATATGGTTCCTGTAAATGTAAATATTTAAAAAGTTTGAAGTTTAGAAAAATTCTGAAGAGAAGCATGCATGTCTTTAAAGAGCTGAACATTTTGATACCTGAAATATCTGAAAGTATGCTGAAGTAAAATCGTCCCATTCATTTGAATGGGGCAAAATTTTCAGAATAAGGCCAAATATTTTCAAAGTATGAAGTTTTTAAATATTCTGAATAGAAGCATGAATGTCCTTGAAGGGCTGAACACTTTGATAGCTGAAATTATGCTGAAGTTGAATTTTCCCATTCATTTGAAGGGGGCAAAATTTTCAGAATAAAGCTAAGTATTTCAAAACATGAGGTTTAGAAAAATTTTGAATAGAAGCAGGAATCTCCTTGAAGAGCTGAACATTTTGATACCTGAAATAGCTGAAAGTATGCAGAAGTAGAATTTCCCCATTCAATTGAATGGGGCAAAATTTTCATAATAAAGCTAAAGCAAAAAATCTGGCATGTTTCCAGAACTTTATGTGAGGTTCAATTTTTTTATACTGGGCTTTTATTTTGAAAGTCAGGCACGTTTTGGGGCCTTCATGTGAGCATAATTTGTATTCAAGGGCTTTTATTCTGAAAATTAGGCACATTTTGGGGATTTCATGTGAGTTTAATTTGTATTCAGGGGCTTTTATTTTGAAATTCTGGCATGTTTTAGGGTTTTCATTTAAACAATTTGCAATCAGAGGCTTTTATTTTGAGGATTTGGCATATTTTGGGGTCTTATTTTGAAGGCAGACCAATCTGTCTCTGTGTCTGTGTGGGTCACTGTGTTACTGTGCATCACTGTATTGCTTGGATTGTATATGGGTCTCATTTTGTGTGTGCGCGCTATTCTGTTGCTGTTTGTGTGTGTAAAAGTAGCAGGTGCATCAGCAGTTTGAGGACACTACAGCAGATTTCAGTCAAACATGGGCTTCGAACAACTGACAATTGAGGAAAAACTAAAAGTCCTATTGATAAAAATCTCTTCACTATGAGCGACAGGAGGTTTCAACAAACACTTTGATCACCTTTATGTCAAGATATTCCAGAAAATGAAGGAGCTGTGGCAATTTAAAAATGCCCTAACTTTTCCTTTGAGCAGATTCTCTGAACCACTTTTTCAAAGGCAGTCTATGGCAGAGTGAGGTGGCACTCTCTCTGGAATGTGCCACATCATTCAAAAACCGTTCATCCTACCGGAATAACAAGGACATTTTCTAATTCCTCACAATTTTCTCTACTGTGTTCATGTAGAAATTGTGTGTGAAAGTTTAAGGTTGGCAGAATAAGAGCAGAAAACAAGCTGAAAAATTGTAAAAAGGCTGAAGGACTGAGCTAGAGTGCAGGTCATGTGACACATGTAGTGGCATTTTAATGGTAGCACCCTTTAAGTTTACTGGCAGTGGCTTTGAAGTCATGGTATGCAGGCATTTGTGTGGTTGTGACCCCAGACTGTTTATTGTGTCAGCATGTTTGTAAAGATTTCCTGCCTTTATGTTCCTGGACCGGTACTGTGCCACAAAGAAAAAATTTTGTGGTTAAAATTATAGTTATTTTTCTTTCATTAGTCTTAGTTTGAAAAACGGCCGTTTCCGCCCTTACCTCACTACCGCACTTGACTCTGGCACGCCATTTTACACATCAGCGACACAAGCTAACCCTTTAAAGAAAATGAGCCAAAAACAAAATTCACTGGAGAGCTTTTTCGGGAAGGAACAAGCAAATGATGGGACAGCAGAAGGGTCACAAACTGCCAGCAAAAAGAAAGCTGAATTTAAAAGAAAACACAACGATTCTTACCTAAGTTACAGGTTCATCGCAACAGCTAATACACAAGCTCCACACCCGCTATGCATAATTTGTGGTGATCGACTACCTAATGAAGCTATGAAACCCTCAAAAATGCTTCGCCACATTGAGACAAAACACCCTGCATTAAAAGACAAGCCCTTGGAATTTTTTTTGTAGTTGCAGGGTAACAAGCCCAGGGCTCCCACTGACTCTGCATTATGGTGAGTTGATATTATAGTGTAGAATTATTGTAATTGCCTAATATAAAGTGTAATTGTTGCATTCAGATTACATACTATGAGCTGACAAAGGTTTTTGTTATTGGAACCCCCACGCCTCTACCCAGTCCGCGGGAAAAATTTTCATGCATGA